CCCCCCCCCCATTCCCCAAAACTAATGTAATTCAGCCAAATTAATGGAGTTCACCCAGACCCTGCATCAGATTGATAATGCTCTACCATCCAAACAGTAACACAAATCTCAACTGATACCAAATATTTTAAAGTTAAAGGATTATGTTCTGCAGCTTCTGATACTTTAAATTTTAAACTTATTTTACTGGACTCATTTTCTCCAGCTGTCAGTAGCATTATATGTAGGGTAATAGATACTCCAAACACATCTCTAGATTTAAACATGCAAAGCTGGCAGAAAGGAACATTTCCTAAACTTGTTTTACCACAGTTAGGGATCTGCACCTACTTCAGGCTCACCACTGAAGTGTGACTTTCCCAACTTCCCAAAACGCACTGAAGAGCTGGGGTTGCACTGCGACTGTGCGCTTTGGGTCAGCGACACCTGCGCGGGTAACACCTGCACGGACCACACCTCCGGGTAAAGCCAGCGCCTTGAGCGAGCTTATCAGAAACCCAAGGAGGGTTTCACCCATCGACGCCTCCAAACCTTTACAGCAGCAGCAAATGCCACCCCAGGCCCAGCAAACAAGGTCCCACACAAGGTGCCGCCCAGGAGCCCTCCGGAGCCTCTCCCGTTGTGCCCGCACCCACTCGTGCCACACGCAGCCCGCGCTGCAGCCACGGCCAACAGGGCCGGCAGGGCAACGCCAGCGCCGTTCTTCGATCGCGGACTTTAAAAGGGAACTCCTGTGCTTCTCTCCCCGCCGCCCAGCTCAAGTTATCAAATTATTCCAGCCAGGAATAACTCCTGGGAGCTAGGCGGGGATCAGCGCCCCCCCCCCCCCCCCCCCCCCACCCCCCCCCCCCACAGCCGCACAAGCCTGGCTGGACTTGGGACTGAGGATCCCTCCCCACCACGTCCAAGCCGCCGAGAGGCCCCGGCAGCGGCGTTTCCTCCGACCCCTCGCCCACCCGGTCCCGAGGAAGGGAAGGCGGAGAGGGGAGCCACTTACGCGGCCCGGGCACGGCTCCCTGCGGCGGCGGCGGGCTGCGCGGAGCGGCGCTGGCAGCGGCGGGGCTCTCCCGGCAGCCAAAGCCGGGGCGCTCCTCCCCTCAGGGAGCCCCCATGCCCGGCCTTCCCACACGTGCGGGCAAACCCCACCCTGCCGACCCCCTGCCTGCCTTTCCTTCTCCTCCCTTCAGTGAGGGCAATCCGCTCTGCTGAGCGGCGCGGGGGAGCAGCGGGGATGGCAGAATTCCCTAAAGGGTCGGACCGCGTTCCCCGCCGTGTACCCCAAGGAAGGGAGGCCGGCCGGCCGGCCCCGGCACCGCGGTCTCGGAGGCTGTGCAGATAGCCCCGCTACCCCGCCCTCACAGACCCACTGCACCTCCGCGGGAGCCACACCGGAGTCCCACCCGCGGCGTTCTCCCACTTCTCATTCCCAGCAACCACGGGCTTCTCAAACCTGGCTGTGCCCCGAGTGGTTTCATGTTCCGCACGCGAATAGCTCTGGCGGGGGTTCGTGAATGATACGCCCTCAGAAACAATTTTTCCCGCAGCTTCATAGGGGTGAGCTTGCGGATGGGTCGGTGGGTGCCTGCCCTGGCTTTGTGCTGGAGGCAGCAGGAGAGGCTGCTCCAGGGCCAGCCGCCTCCCAAACGCCCTTTGCCGCTTGCTGGACCTATTTTCCGAGGCACCTTTCAGAAGCGTGTGGTGGGATTTGGTGAGGAAGCTCCAGGCAGTGGTGAGAACGAAGGTAGAAGCGCCGCCTTGTCTGTCCTAGCAGATAACACTTTCTGTGCTTGTTTGGGGAGACATCATAGGCAACATTTGTCTGAGAGCAGCAGAAAGTGTCACAGAATGGGTACAAGTACAATGCAGCTTATTTTCATTCTAGTGTTGTCAAGCACTGCCTGTTCCTACAAGCCTTGTTATATTTGTTTGAGATACCTGGAACTTGGCAGCTCTATCTATACACAGATTGGACAGTGTTAGTGCCTCCCTCTTCTTCAGCCTAAATAATTCAAATAATTTCTCTCAGCTAGATATCTTTAAAAACTCATTTTAAGGCTAAGAATAGCGCTGGGCTAAGAATAGCTACTGCTAAGATTAACGTTGAGAATAGCCAGAATAAATCTTACAGTCATCATCTTTTTCTCTCTGCATACATTCCACTTACATAGGTCCTTTCCTTTCAGCACTATAATCTGAATCACCAAGCTGGTTCAGGGCGGTGATTATCCCACTCTGCTCTGTGCTGCTGCAGCCTCACATGGAATATTGTGTGTAATTTGGGCACCAGAATACAAGAATATAAAGCTATTAGATAGTGTTCAAAGGAGGCCTATAAAGATGGTGAAGGGTCAAGAGGGAAAGGCATATGAGGAGAGGCTGAGGTCACTTGGTCTGTTCAGCCTGGAGGAGACTGAGAAGAGATGTCATAGCAATCTTCAACATCCTTATGAGGGATAGTCGAGGGGCAGGTACTGACCTACTCTCTCTGGTGACCCAACAGGACCTGATGGAATGGCCAGAAGTTGTGTCAAGGGAGGTTTAGTTTAGATATTTGGAAAAAAATTTTACCCAGAGGGTGAACAGGCTCGTCAGGGTGGTCACAGCACCAAGCTGTCTGAGCTCGAGATGCATTTGGACAATGCTCTCAGGCACATGGTGTGACTCTTGGGGCCGTCTTGTGCAGAACTGGACTGTGATGATCCTAGTGGGTCCCTTCCAACTCAGAGTACTCAGTGTGATTCTATGAATACATAAAATCCTTGGACACAACTTCACGAATTTTGGCTGTGGATCTGCTTGTCTCTCTTTTATGATATTCTGTCACTGGATATGTGGTGGGTGTGTGTACGTATATATGTAAATATGTACATTATATATGCATATACCCACACACATGCATCCCTACTTTCAGGAATTGCCTTTCAAAAGTAGCTTAAATTTCATCTTTAACCTGGCTAGGTTTTGCCTTTCTCCTTCTACAGGGGAAACTCTTCCAGAACTGTAAATCTGAAAGAAGTCAGACATCTTTAACTCTGAGTTCTCATTCCATAAGTCTCTTTCTACTTGCAGAAGATCATATAGAGGGCCAATCTGACAAGATAAGAAGAGGAGAAACATATTTGAGGGAGTGACTTTTTAGTGACTTAGCACTTCATAAGTGAATTTATGGCTATAAATTAAATTATTCTCTGTTTGCAGAAAAATAATCATGGACCATTCTGTTAAACAGTCATGTTGTATTCCCTTGTGGCTGGACTCCTTTTACATTTAAATTCTCATTAGAATTTTCCATCTTTCATTTTCTGAACATTTCAGGCACAGTGTCATCAGCCTACTAAGAAATAGCTACATCAGTAAGGTAAGCAATACAGTGAAGATTTTTTTCAGAATACAAATCAGTTATTGGGAGAAATCATGTGACTAAGGGGCAGTCTATTGAACCAAAACGTTAGCAATCAGAAAGTTATTTGTCTTTGCCCTTTCCATGTGTGCAGAACAACAGTTCTGCCTAAATATTCCGATTCTTATCAGGAAATTATATATGTGATACGTAAAATCTTCTGAATACTACTGAAGGGTAACTTTCGAGGAATTAGATTTGTAAACACAAATGTTTCACTAAATGCTCTATTACATTACGTGTGAGAAGTCAGATGTAAAATAATTGAGCAGAACAGAATAAATTAGTCTCACCAAATGTATGATACAAAATTATTTTTGTGAAATTTCCAGTCACCCAGCTTATTCTTGCTGTACTGTATGTGTTTTTATTACATGAATATGAAATGGTCATTCTCCACCACATTCTTTAGCTGATAAATGCAAGGAAATTTTTATCATGTGTACAAAACAAAATCTAAAAACTACTCATCCTTTTTCTTTCCCTCACTCTTCATCTACCTGAGTGAAGCAATTGAAACCTAAGATTGTGTTCTCATTTTGAAAATTGTAGTATTATCCTCTGTTAATGTGTTCCTTTCACCTTCCTGTTTTCACTGTGCTTTTGTACATAATTGTTTCTGTTCTGAGTATTTATTGTCCTGTGTGTCCTATTGACAGGAGGAAATGTTGAAGAGTTAGTACTGATATACTTAATGAACATCTAGTAAACTCAATCTCTTGAAGTTTAAACATGTACTTGTGAGCTGTGCTGGCTGGTGACCTGGGGGGGGAGTAAGCTCTAGCCTCCTCCCTCTACATCACCTAGCTCATGGCAAAGTTATTCATAGACAGTGGTCCTTTGAGGAATGTAAATGCTGCAAAAATGAAGGCATTCTTCCTTGCAAACAGGTTCATGCTGATATGGCCATGACAGAATTATGTAGCAGCGCAGAACGTTCATGTTTTGGCTGCCTTGACTACATTTAACCATTAGATAACTAAGAACTCTTATTACGCAGGATAGATTGTCCTTTAAACTTTTAAAATACACAGAGGAAAAAAAATGTTTGCAAAGGAAAAAAAAGCCAAATAGTATTTTTAATCTGTGTTAATAAATAAAAAACACTGTATTTTATTAGACTGAACAATAATGAAAGGTCATTTAAATAATTAATGTTAAAATAGTGTATCTCTGTAAGTAATTAATTACCCATTTGTAGGGAAAAAAGAAGTATGAAGATTTAATAGAATATTTACATGAACACTAGATGACAATTTTTAACAGTTGGGGATTGATTTTCTTTAGAGAACTTGTCCGTGTAGAGTCAAAAATGAATTATTGCTTTTTCCCGGTAGGAAAAAAAAGTTCTAGCAGGACTTGATCCTCAGCTGCCTAAAGCAGGCTTTCCATTTGAGACTTCAAGGGGGTGTACCAAGGGGAGTGTAAGGGGGAGTGGCAGGAGAGCTGCAATCATCTCCTGTTTTCCAGTGGACAACACTGAGGTAACTAATAACTACCTCCAGCAACCTATGGCAAGTCTCAGGCATTGAGCAACTGAGGCAATGTCAATGAAACTTTTAAAAGGAGAACATGCCAAGAAACTTGCCCAGACTCGTCAGCAAAGAAAACATACTTTTTGTTTCAGTTTTCAGCAGGTTGCTGATGTATTAACCACTGCTTAGCAGTCTGTGTTCGCAGGCTCAACACAGTCTCTTCTGGGATCAGAATTTACTTAAGTACTTAGGGTTTGATTAGCCATAATGAATCACATGAGTGGCCTCAGTAAGACAGTGTTAGGTGACCTGCTGAAGCTGAACCAGCAGCGTGAGTTTTGGCCCATTTAGAGAAAGAAATGTACCTTATGGGATTGTGAGGGTTGGCTTCTTTTCATCTCTTCTACTTTTCCACATGACCTGTGCATGGAATTGACGCCTTAATTTGTCTGAGAGAAGTTAAGGAGGTAATCTCTTAAATTAAGTTGGGGTACTGATTTTGGTTTTTGACTTTTTCTAAGACATGAAATAGCTGCAAGTTTTTCAATCTGATCTATGTGAAGCTGCTAGTTAAATTCAGAAATTGTATGCACTACTTATGCATTTATGCATCACATGCATTACTCAGTGGAGTTCTGCACAAAATTAGCATCTGCCATTGCAGGCTTGTCTGGTAAGGGGAGCAGCAGAAAGAGAGCTACAATGTGTTGCAGCAGAATTTAAATGCTAAGGCTTAAACATGGTCCTGTAAAAGTGGTGCTGTTGGGTACTGTTACTGTCATCAGTTCTGCATTCTCAGAATAGCTTCTGAACCATAAACTTTTCTTCTTTTCCAGCACCAACAGAACCCATAGACCGTATGGCAACGTCCTCAGACACTGAG